GGCCGGTCTGCACAGCTGCTGCACTGGGTGCTCCTCCCCAGGGCAGTGTCCAGTCCAGAGGTCATCACACTGCCTTCACCTCTCTCCCCATCCTCCTCCTCGCCCTGTCTTATCACTCCCTCCCACTCCCGGAATGGGCTGGCTTGGGACCAGTTAATTGGGGGTGAGGGTTTCCAGTCGTGGTTCTCTGAAAGGGCTCCCGAAGGCTCAGCAAAGGCGTCTGGGAGAAACCGCCTATGGAGTGTGGAGTGGTGCACGGAGGACACCCCTCCTGGGCAGAGTGGGCTTCCCCCGTCTCGGCGCCCTCCTGCTATGAGCTGGGAGGAAGAAGGGGATGTGGCCACCACCTCATGTGTCTAAGGTCTCCGGTCCTCAGGAGGAGGGATGGAGGGTATGTGTTTGAGGCGTGCATGCGTGTGCATGTTGGAATAGATAAGGCATATGGGGAGGGGCAGGCTGTTCTTGTCTCTCTGAATAAATTTGGCGGCAGGGTTGCCTCCCACGCCCAGGGTTCTTTCCTCTGGTTTCTCCCTCCATCAGTGGTCCCCATCCGCCTTACTCACATCTCTCAAGTCCTGATTTTGGATCCTGGATGGTCCTGACCGCGTCTGCATCCACTCTGTGCAGAGGGAGAGAGGCGGTCATGCAGAGGAGGGAAGGGGGAGGGAGTGACCGACTGTGGAGGGGGGAGGGGGACCTTTCCCGGAGGAAAGTTTCGGGGGAATGAACTATTTGCATAAACAAAACTGATGAAAAAAAAAATCTGTTTCCAGTTTAACTTAGTTTTGGTTTTGAATTCCCTGATGGTGGTGCCACCTGCTGGCCGATATGGGGAAGGGTCCGTTTTTAGGAACAGGAGAGCCTTCCGCCGGAGGCGCAGACTTCTCGTTTTCTAGGTCTGATCTGAATTCTCCCTTTCTTCAGGGACCTTCCTAGAGGCTGCTGCCATGTTTACAAGGTTCCCACTCAGAGTGCAGTGGAGATCACAGCTGAGGGCACTCTCTTTTCTGCACTGCCCTTTTCCATTAGCCCGGTTTGTCCTACGCTCAGTCACCCAGCAACCCTGGGCCAGGAACAGCCAGGGTTTCAAAGCCCAGGGCGACGTGGCGGAAGCAGTGCAGGCGTGGAAAGAGGGGAATGCAGTCTGGCTGCATTGGGGCCCTGGCTTACTTCATTCAGTAATGCTGCTTAGACTTCGAACAGGGGCTGCTGTTTCAGGGCAACCCTACAGCTGCACCAGGGTTTGCTTTAAGACTCTTCCTGCCCACCTCAATGAACTCAGGCCTGCCAATGAACTTGGCTCTTAGAGAAGTAGGGGCAGCTGGGGAGAGAGTGGAGCTAATCCACTTTTCCTCAGTGTCTGGTCAAGAGTTTGAGCCCTAGAGTCACAGTTGCCTTGGGCTAGGCCAAGGGTGTGGCTGTGGACCAAGAGTGACTGAGAGTGAAGCCAGATTCCCGGGAGGGAGGAGAGCTCTGGTCTCTCCTGTCCATCAGGACACAGTGTCCTGTTTTCGAGGTTTGCTCTTCATGGGAACCTTTCTTCATCAACTCTCTGCAGCTCAAATGCCTTGTGTAATTGTAGTCCACAGGGAGGCTCAGGCTGCAGACCAGGCCTCTGAGTTCTGAGGCCTCTGCAGGGTATCCTGCTGTTTCCCTTATCAGATTAATTCCCCCATCCCTGCACCCCCCTCCCCCCGTTGATCCTTAATGGGCGGCCTATTCAATGTGCCAGGCACTCTCCTAGGCAATGGTTTGCAAGGACTCACGAAGACGGGCCATTCCTGTCAGGCAGCGACCACACCATCACTGAACATAGGTGGGGAGGAGGCACGGGGAAGCTGCAAGGTTAACGAGGGCCTGGAGGGTTGCTCCCATCGGCTTATGTGTTGCAGCTGAGGAATGAATCTCGTGACCTGGCTGATCCAGCACCTGACTGGTGGCCTAGTCAAGTTCAGAAAGAGTGAAGACATGAAAGAAGGATAAGGAGCAGACCAGGAGATGAGAAAGGGTGGGTTCTTGTCTAGAAAACTGCACACTGGCATTCTGACAGCAGCATGAGCGTGCGCGCGTGCGTGTGTGTGTGAGCTTGTGGCAGGGCAGGGGGACAGGGGTACCAGGGAAGGAGGGGCGTTTGGGAAGGTAAGTCTCAGCTGAAGCTCTCCTCTCCCATCTCACAGAATCTGAGTTCTGTCCTGGGTTATGCAACATGGTTGGCAAGTGACAAACATGCACCTGGTTGGTTCAGTCCCGGCCCAGCCTCCACTCTGCCCCACCACTCCAGATAACCTTGACTTGCACATTTGTCTTATGCCCTTGACTTACACTAAGGACTGAAAGAAGAAAAAGCTATACAAAGTTTGTGCAGACACTTGTGTTTTTTTTAAGATTTTATTTATTTATTTATTTATTTTTTTAGAGAGGGAAGGGAGGGAGAAAGGGAGAGAGAGAGAGAGAGAGAAACATCAATGTGCGGTTGCTGGGGGTCATGGCCTGCAACCCAGGCATGTACCCTGACTGGGAATTGAACCTGCGATACTTTGGTTCACAGCCTATGCTCAATCCACTGAGCTACACCAGCCAGAGCAGGCACTTGTTTTAAGAGCAGTATTTGAGGACATTGTCCATTGTCTTATTCAGTCCTCTTAGGACTTGATTCTGGGGGAAACATTTTCTCCCTTAAAGTAGCAGTAGGTTTTCCTTTGTGGCCATACCTATAATTATATCTATGTCTAGATATGCCTATTCCTATATGTACACATAGATCTGGCTTTATATTTTTTGCTTTGGTAGGGAGAAACTCATATCACTTTTTCAATAATAAAAGTTAAAAAAATAACTAATACATGCTCATTAAATAAAATTTAGCAAATAGAGAAGAACAAGAGAAAACAAAACAGCTGGAATTATACCACTTAAAGCAACCTCTGATGAATATTTTAGAGTATTTTTGATAGTCTTTTGTACTATGTACAGGTTTATAAAATAGAACCACCACATGTATGTACACCTTTGAATCCTATTTTTCTTTTAAAATATTTATTTTTAAAAATTTATTTATTTTAGAGAGGGGAAGGGAGGAAGAGAGAGAGAGAAACATCAATGTGTGGTTGCCTCTCATGTGGCCCCCACTGGGAACCTGGCCCACAACCCAGGCATGTGCCCTGACTGGGAAATGAACCTGCGATGCTTTGGTTCGCAGCCGCGCTCAGTCCACTGAGCTACGCCAGCCAGGGCTGAATCCTATTTTTCAAATATAAATTTAACCTTTAACCATACAGCCCCCTTGATTTTTATTACTAGTAAATTTGCTCTCCTCTGTTTTTTTTCACTTTCTAGTTCTATTTGAACACGTGTATTTTATTTGTGCCTTTTACTCTAAATTGCCTCATGTCCTCACTAAAAATTAAAGAGCTGGTCGTCTCAGGTGGAGCATGGCCTGGGGTGTCTAGCAGCACCGGGCGTGTCTGCAGGAACACCCAGCCCAGGGCTGGGCCCAGGGGGTGTGCTGTCTGCAGGAGCCGGGCCCCAGGAAAGTGTGCACCAGGTGTCCGTCCTGACGGCAGCAGGAGTCCCCAGCGAGCGAGAAGCTGTAGGGCTGTGGGGGCTGGGAAGGGGGAGTGGGCAACACAGCAGGTCCTGAGGACTCTGAGAGGTGTCCAGGTGCACTGGGAGGCAAAGGGCCTTTGCAGTCCTGGACTGGCTGTGGCATTTGGGCAAGTCGCTTTATCTCTCTGAACTTCAGTTTCCTCATTCAAAATGTGGGTTATAACACAGGCTTTGCAAACTTGGTGTGAGGAGCCAGTGAAATAACGTACACGAATTGCCTGGCATGTGGGAGATATAACAAACACCGAGCCATCACTGTAGCTGCAGCTGGGAGTTGTGGTAGGTGGTGCAGCTGAGAGTTTGAATATTTGAACGGCAACTGAAGGGGCTTTAGAATGTTTCAGGGATGCAATGCAATTAAGACCACTGCCCCCATACACCACTTGAACAGGGTGGTGAGAGGCTGTCTGTCTCCCAGGAGAGACAGATGAAGCTCTGTCAGCAAGAGATAAAGTTCGAAGTGAAACTCACTGGGATGTACAGGGCTTTCCTGGGCATAGTGCAAACTCACAGGAAGGTAGAGGGTGAGGAGGAGGGGCTGGGGGAGGCCCTTCCTATCTGGGCTGGGGTCAGCCTTGAGCAGAGGGGGAGTTCTGTCTCACACCGTGACTCAAATATGGATTCCCGGACTCCCTCCCTCCCCACCCACAAGGCTCAGTCCTCACTTTCAACCCTCTTCTGTCTGCGGCCTCACAGAGCTGGTGCCTGGGCTCAGCGTGCCCAGGGTCAGCCCTTCCCGTCCATCACTCCCTTGATCCAGTCCATGTAGTTGAGCACTTTGGTGTAGAAGCCATACCCTTTGCCACACCCAATGCCCCAGGATACGATGCCCGTGGCCACCCAGTGATGGGCACGCTCGTCCCACACCACGTAGACGCCACCACTGTCCCCCTGGCAGACACTCTGCCGCCGCGCCCTATCCCCAGCACAGAACATGTTGTCCGAAAACACGTCAGTCCTCTGCTTCTCTTGCAGCCAGGCCTCGCAGGCCTCCCTCGGGGCTACCGGCAGTCTCGAGTACTTCAGCTCAGTAGTTAACCAGCCCATCTCCACGCCAAACCCACTGACATATCCCATGAGGCCACTGCGGTAGAGGGCCTCGCTGTCGGGCAGACAGACCGGGAGGAGGTGGGGGCCGAGGGGGACGCTGTGCTGCAGTTCCAGGAGGGCGATGTCCCCGTTGAAGTTGTGGGACTCGTTCTGAGGGTAGTCCGGGTGCACAACCACTCGGCGCACGGGGTGGTTCCCCAGCTTTATCATCTCATCTACGTTTGTGTGGCCCAGGAACACGTCCACCCTCCTCTTCTTCCCAGGAAAGGCGCTGTCCTTGGGATAGATGGTGTGGGCAGCAGTGAGGATCCATCTGTCGCCCAGCAGGGCCCCACCCCCACGGCCATAGATACTGGTGAAGGCTTGCCATGGGAAGTTGCCCAGCTTAGCTTTGGAAGAACCCTGGACCCCCTGGTTCTGCGCAATGGGGGTGACTGGCTGTCCACAGACTGCAAGAGAGGAGAGGTAAGGGTGAGAAACCAGCATGCATCAAGCCACATTTATTAAAGACCTACTTCTGTGAAGGGCTCTTTCTCCTGCCTCCTTAGCCATTTCAAACCACTTCTTTAGACTCTTGGTGGGGCCATCCTGAGCAAACTCACACAGCAAGCAGAATTTGCCTTCGGCGCCTCTTGACTCTCCTTTCTGCCACTTGTTCGTTTTTAACATCTGCCACTACTACCTGTCCTCCACCCCCTACGAACCACTACTTCCGGCTGCCTCCAGAGCTTCTGTGGATCAGGAGTAAAATCTGAGAAATGCATCCAGATTGGGTTAGACAGGCAATGCTTTGACTAAAAAAAAAATGGGTTTCAAAAAATGGGACTTGAATCTTCATATTCTGCTGATGGGAATTTAAAATGGTGCAACCATCATGGAAAACAGTTTGGCAATTCCTCAAAAAGTTAAGCATACCCGTAGAGTTATGATAGAAGTCAACACCAGCAATTCCACTGCTAGGTGTACACCCAAGAGAGCTGAAAACATGTTCAGATACAAACTTGTACGTGGATGCTCATACCAGCATTGTCCATAAGAGGCAAAAAGTGGAAACAACCCAAATGTCCATCAACTAATGAATGGATAAACAAAATGTGGTATGTCCATACGGTGGGATTCAATTCAGTTGTGACAGAAATGAAGTCCTGATACCTGGTACAATGTGGAGGAACCTTGATGACGTGATGCTAAAGGAACGAAGCCACACCCGAAAGGCCACATATGGTATGAGCCCGCTGCTATGGAGCGTTCAGAATAGGCAAGTCCGTGGCGACAGAAAGCGGGTTAGTGGTTGCCAGGGGATGAAGGAGGGGGGAGTTAGAGGTACTGGGTTTCTTTTGGGATGATGGGAATGTTTTAGAATTAGTGGGAGTGGTTGCACAATATTGTAAATATGCTAATAATTACTAAATTGTACACTATAAAATGGTGAATTTTATCTCAATAATGAAACTAAAAAAAAAAAAAGGTGGACTTTCTGGCCCTGTGGCATCTGGGTAGGGAGATAGTTGCGGGACAGAGTGCCTGTCTGTGTGTCCTCGAAGCATACGGCTCCAAGGGAGGGTTTTCTCTCGTTCCTCGCTGCCCCTCTGTCTCCCTCACTTCCCCATCTGATTAACTTCCTTCATGCTTTTGCTTCCCCAGGTATATCTTGATCTTCGAAGAATAAGGGACAAGCTCCTTGCCTTTCCTTTTATGGACCTTCTTGGTTTCCCTCTTCTTCCTCCCCTTCTGCTTTTGTCTCCTCTTTCTATTCTGAGGCTTTCCTTTAACCCCCTGCATCCTGGTCCACAGGCCCCACGTATGGTTGAATCCTGTTTGGAGAGTGACCGCCGTCACAGCACTGGCAGGTCACTACTCACCTGGCACACAGTGAGGAACCTCCTCCCTGTCCTCTGTCTCTTCTCCGGGGCCTGGGGCTGTGCAGGTGAGTGTCCCTGAGGAGTGAAATGAGGTGAGGCAAAGAAACAGGCTCAGAATCGGGAGGTGGGGCTAAAAGGGTAGGTGCCACAGGCCTCTTGGTAGGAGTGAGGCAGGTAGAAGCCGGTTCCCCGGCAGGTGGGGACTCACCTGCTGGAACCACCTGATAATAGGGCTCCTGGCAGTGGTTCTGGATGTTGGAGGAGTTGCCTCCAGGTGTGTGTGTGGCCTCAGAGCCCCCACTAACCTGGCTGAGGGGCTGACTATGGTTCATGCCTATAGGAAAGAAGTGGTCATTAGAACCTAGAACAGAATTGCAAATGGCAAGCCAGGGACTGATTCTGGCCCATGGCCACATTTAGTTTGAACCGCAGTCTTTTTTTCCTTTTTTTAAACATTTGAACTATTTTTCACTGATCAGACTGTCAATGCTAAAAAGGTTTGACAGCGACCATGGTGAGTAGGATACGGGGAAACAGGATTTTCAGACATGCTGAGTGGGAGTGTGAATTCACAAAACCTCTGTGAGGGGAATTCAGCAATGTCAAAATTAAAACTGTGATTTTTTTCACCTAGCATTTTCCTTTCTAAGGATTCACCCTCATGTGCATGCTCCAACGTGTATATCCGGGGTGTCAAACTCATTTTCACCGGGGACCACATCAGCCTCACAGTTGCCTTCATAGGGCCGAATGCACTTTTAGGACTGTGTAAATGTAACTACTCCTTAACAGTTAAGTGAGAGCTCGGCGCTGCTGCCGGGTAGAAACAAAGTGCTGGGCCGGATAAACAAGGTGGAGGGATGAATTCGGCCCGCGGGCCTTGTGTTTGCCACCTGTGTTCTGTATACAAGCTTTCCATAGCAGTACTGTTTGTGGCAGCAAAATATCTATCGGTGGACGACTAATTCAATATATTATGACATATTAATCAAAGAAATATTATATAGTCACTAAAAAGAACTAGGCAATGCTAGCCACATGTATATGGAATGATCTTTAAGCTATATCATTGAGTGAAAAATGCCAAATTTAAAACATTGTATTATGCAACAACCCTCCCCCACTGCCACACACACAATTATAGTTCAATGGCATAGAATGTCTTTGGAAAAATACCCAGGAAATGGAGAACAGAGTTGTTTCTGGACAATGTAGTCATGGACTAAGGCCCAGAGATCAGAGGAAGACTTACTTTTTACCATATATTTTTTTTTTTGAAATTTTTATCATGTGCATATATTACCTTGCAAAAAAAAATTCTGAGTTACCATTTGAAAATCTGGAATTTTACTTACGATCTGTATGTGGCATTTCATGAAAAACGAAATGATCCTCAAACCCGGGTCAGTAAATCAGTGTGAGAATGCCTGCTGGAGCCTTTAACTGGGCAGCTCCCCAGCGGGGGCCGGAGGCGGCAGGGAAGGGGTGGGCCCCGGTGTCCAGTCCCTGCACCCCCAGCCTCAACCATCACTCAAGCTTCCACTTGTCTTTTCCAGATATCAGGGGTCATGGCCGTGGAAAGAGAGCGCACCCCCAGGATGGACACTCACTCACGGCTTGGTAGAGGACCAGGAAGCCCTTGTGGAGGCCAGTTGTCCTGTCTTCAGAGGAGGCAGGTGCAAGGAAAGTCAGCCGCAAACGGTTCCCTGAGGACACAAACTCCCTCTGACCTCGGGGTCCGCCCAGCGCAGAGCCCCGCTGGCCACAGGACAGGGTTGGGTCCGTCCCACTGGCTGTGATCTGAAAGGGGAGCAGAGGGGCAGGCAGGTGTGGGGTGAATCTGCACCCCGGGTGGTCCCAGGGACACTCCCCACCTGACAGGTCAGCACACGCCTGTGCAAGCTTGCTCACGTAGCTTCCTGTTTGCTGTTGACTCCCAAGTTTTTTCCAGATGTGACCAGATACCTTGCATATTTCTTTAGCCTTCTATGCTTATCTCATAAAGCCCACCATATTTGCCTGCTCTCGAAAGGCTCCTTGGGAATAGAGTCAATAACATATAATAACCATGTTTGGTGACAGGTGGCTGGTGGACTCATTGTGGTGATCACTTTGTGAGCCATATAAATATTGAGTCAGTATGTTGTACACCTGAAACTAATATAATACTATTTGTCAATTATAATGAAAAATAAATCAGTAAAAAGAAGTTCCTTGGGCTCCCCAGGGCTCCCCCAATAGTCCACTGGATTGTAAGTTCCAAGAAGGCGGGAAATACACCTGTTTTGCTGACCACAGAATCCCTGGTGCTCACATGGCGCTTATAGCACTACAGCTTTGAACTGATGAAAATACAGATGTAAGTCCCTCCCTCTGGCTTCCTCCAACCCTGCCCCCTTCCACTTTTCTGAGTAACTTCCTGTGGGCCAACATCTGTGACGCAATAAGACCCTCTGCAAAGACCGAGCTGGGGTTTCTGGCCTTTCCTGTTCTCTTTTCTGGAGTGTCCCTCCTCCAGCTGAACTGTAAATAAAGCCCCACAAGGGGTGGGAATCTAAGGACACAAGTGCACGCAGTACGGATAGGCTGCCTATTGTTGCTTAACTTACATGTTCTTTAAGGAGGGGTCCCTGTTGCAAACCCCTTCGAGGGCCTCGCCCCTGCTCAGATTCCTTTTGGTGGGTTCTCCAACCCACAAGGATACCTCTTGGAAGGAGTTCCCCTGGCCCACGCTTCATGCTCAATCTCTATTCTGGGCACTCAGCCCCCTGCTCAGCTCATTTTACTCATTTCTTTTTTTTCCCCATTTAATTTATGATTTTCTTATGAATCCACCTCCTGGGTTCTTCATTCCCTCATTCTCCCACAGTCTCAAATTCCTTTCAACACGACCAAGGACAAAACAGTGAGAGGAGATGACAGCAGAGGAGAGATGCCAGTAACATCCTGGAAGGTGGACCGGAGATGGAAAAGAGGCAACTAAGGATCTGACTCCGCAGAGTGGAAGCCAACATAAAGCACACAGGTTCTTACCACAGAAACGAGGACAACCAGGAACCCCTGAGGATGGGGATGAGTGGGGCGGGGCTGGGGGCTAACAGAAGCCTATGTAGGGAGACCTCAGAGTTCTAGACCCCTCTGCCCACCCTGTGTGCCCAGGTGACTCCCTCTGGTTCACCCTGCCTGGCAGGAGACCTCAGCGGGAGCCAGGGACCCTGGGCTTGGGGTTCCCTGGGACACTTGACAGAGGGAGTGAGATCAGAACTGAAAACAGAGGGATTGGGTGACAGTCTACATATCAAACAGTAAGATGCCTCTGCTTGTCTACCAGAAGGCGGGCAACTCCCTCAGGAGACCAGAGGACTCCTCTCTGAGGCTGGCCATCCCCCAGGGAAATGCTCTGCACGCCCACATCTGGGAGGGCCCCGCGGCACACCTGGTCCACCTCGCTCGTAGCTTTCTTTTCAAACTTGTCGTTTCTTAAATTTTAGCTGTCTTCACAGGGCATCCAATATCATTCTAGTACTTTCTTTTTAAATCTAAATGAACAGCCAAGGATTATCAGTTATTGTAGGAGAGTCTCTAATATAAGAAGCAGAGACAAAACAAAAAGAAGAGTAAGAAAGAACTTGGGCAAAGTAGAGATAATACAGGGAACAGAAACAGCATTGAAAAATAGTCCCACTACAGGGAAAAGAGTCTTGTCTGTGAAATAAGAACAACATTCTGTAAAAAGCCACATTTAAAAAATAAGAATGAGCCTTTCGTCATAAAAAAAGTCAAGAGCAAAAAAACCACTAAAGTGGGTATTTAAAATGAGAAAATCTCCCAGGAAGTGGAACAAAAGGACAAAGAGATGGAAACACAACAGAATGAATAATAAAACCAGAGAATCAGTCCAGATCATACAACAGCTAAATTATAGGAGTTCCAGAAAAAGAAAATAAGGAGAGTAGATGCCTGGACATAATCTAAAAAAATAATAGAAGAACATTCCTAGAATTGAAGGACAGGTTGAAAAGAGTCTCTAGATTAAAAGAAGGTTCTACAACAAGTAGAAAGCGAACCACATCAAGGCACGTCATACAGTTCCGAATACTGGTAATAAAAACAATTCCAGAAACTCTAGAGAGAAAAAAACTAAGGACCAGAAATCACACTGCTGTCAGACTTAACACCACTAGAGCTAGGAGACAATGTCATCCAAACTCTGAGAGAAAATGTCTTCCAGCTTAGAATGCAAGCCGGATAAACAATCCACCAGCTGTGAGGGCAGAACGAAGACGTTTAGGGTTGTGCAAGAGCCTCTAAAACTGACTCCCACATACCTTTTCTGGAGGAGAAAGTGCTCCTCTAAAAATGAGAGAAAGAGAATGACAGTGGGGTTCAGTTTTAACGCAGGGCAGGTAAAGGGAATTTCCCAGCGCGATGGAGAAGGGAACCCCAGAGAGGGTGAAGTCTTAGACAGCCACGACTTCAGAGTGAAGAAATAAATCAAGATCAAGAGATCTTTTGGCGAAATGTCGCCCATGAACAGGACGACTCGGATGAGATTTGTACTTGACTGTGTTGAAAGATTTACGCTGTGTAAATTACACAGCGTAAATCTTTCAACACAGAGTTTGTGATTAGTTACACAGGACTAAGCAAACCAGAGTAGAACAAAAACAAACAGAAAGCTCCAAAGAACTCCATGTAATTATTGACTCCTGGGAAACCGAAAATTAGAGAGGAAAAAACCTGTAATTATTGTCCATCATATGCTCAGATGTGAGTATTTTAAAGTCATAATAATGTAAGTAATGACTATAGATTTAATTAAAAATAGTAGTATAGGTAAGCTGCAAGGATGGGAGAGGGGGAATGTAGGCGTGAGGGTCTCCGATAAAGCCAGTCCTGTCTTCTGTAGTTGAAAGTTAATGGATAATATGTAAAACAAGACAAAACAACAACCAAAAAAACAAAACAAAACAACCCAACCCAAACACAAACCAGAACAAGAGTGTGACTGATACATATGAAACTAAAAGCCAGATGAAACAGCTACATGAATTGTGACTAATTGCCCAGGAGGGTAGAATGGGGTTGAGGAGTAAAGCTGGAGACAGCTGTTTCCCATTATAGCCTTGTAGTACTCTGATTTAAAAATAAACCAACAAACAAACATTGCATCTATTATTTTGATATAAATAAAATTCAAAACAAAAGACAACACAGTACTGGTTTTAAAGTGTCCTTATTCTGAATAATTCCCTTATCACGAGAACTTTAGGGTAAGCTCAGTCATCGAATCTTTTGTTATTGTTCATGCCCAGTTTCCTGTCCTGACAGAGCAGACACTTGGCAAAATGCTTGATGTCTTTTTAATGACTGATGTGTGAAGCCTCGCTCTTGATTCCAGGGATTGGTGGTACTTGTGTGTCCCTTTGGGGCCAAGATGGTAGCATGGCCAGGGACAGGGCTGCTGGTGGAGGCTGCGAACTTGGGCAGACCCTCGCCTCCCAGGGAAGCCAGCCTGCGCCCCTGACTTGGGCTCTTCATCCATTCCCCCAGAGCCAGGGTCCCGCCACCTCCCATTGGCCCCGGGCTCCAGGCCAGGAGGCTGCCTCCCCGGAGTCCCTCCAGGACCCCAGCTCACTGTGACAGAGTCCCGCTCACAGTCCTGGGACAGCTCCAGGTCGAAGTCCTGGAGCACGAGCTTCACAGCAAAGCCCTCCGGGGCCTCGATGACAGTGGTGCTCTCTTGGCCTTTGAGGTATGGCTCCGGGAACCCGGGGAATGCCAGCTGCTGGGGTAGCTGCTGGGCCAAGAGCACAGAGCCCTGTGTGGGGCCAGCCTGGAGGACTCCCCAGAGGAGCAGCCACCACCTGTGAGTGGGTGAGGGAAAGATGAGTCCACACAGCTTGCGGCCTGAGGCCTGTGGGGTCCTGAGGAATGGGGGCAGGCATTGCTAAGGGACTGAGAGACCTGGTGAAGGCATTAGCAGCTGTGGCCTCAGCCCTTGAAGTCTGACACCTCTGCCCGCTGCCTTATTGCCCCTCTCCGCCCCAATTCCTTCAGCCTCCCAGTCAGCCTGAGCTCCACGGTGAGTTTTTCACCATAGCTTATCTTCCTGGAGAGTCTCATACAAGGTGGGGAACTGCTTTCTGCTTCAGCAGATCCCAGCCCCACCCTGGGATCTGAGGGAGACACGGAGGTACAGGTGAGGGACAGTGAAAATGTTAGTTTCCTGGCTCAGAGCACTGTGCCTGACCACCCCCCGGGAAGGCTGCTAGAAGCTAAGGGCAACTTCTAATTCCCTTCTGCTTTAAGTGGCTCTGAGTGTGTGTGTGTATGTGAGTGTGTGGGTGTGGGTTTCTGTGTGGGGCGTACGTGAGCCCTTGGGTCTCATCCTCCCATCTCCCCACCCTTTTCCTCTCCTCCAGTCCTTTCTAAGGGCACACTCACATCTTGCCTGGGCAGCTTGTGGAGTGGGGGCTTCCCCAGAAATAATTCCCCGGCTCCGAGACCAGGCCTCTGGAGTGGGACCTCCGGGACCTTGGAGAGGACTTGGCTCAGGCCAGGAAACAAGAGGTGGGGCCAGAGAGAGCCCTCAGGGGGAGGTGGGAGGTTACTGGAAATGAGTTTAGTAATTCTCCTGTTCCTTTTTCTAATTCTCTGGGTCGAGCGCCACCTACTGTTTGACTTGGGTATATCTCAGCCACCACAACTTCAGAGGAAAAACTCCAAAACCTCGCTGCCCTCAGAGGTCAGGGGTTGGGAGGGCACTGACTCTTGACTCTTTTGTACTATTTACAAAATGGTAAATAGTAGGTATGGCTCCGTGTGTGCTATGGCTGTTGCCTCTAATCGGCCATATCTCTCCCTTCCTGACCTTTCCACTTATTTGTATTACCTGCCTGCCTCTTGTTGAAATGGAAGTTTGTGACCTCTGAACTTGAACTTCTCCTCCTCACTCCCTCCTCACCAAGCATGGCTGGGGCCCTTGCTTGGGTGGTCTTTTGCACCCTGCTCACAACCCCTGGAATCTGCTCCTCCGGCAGGGTCAGGTTGGCCCAGGGCCTGGATCAGGCCCAGACTCCTGCTTCTTCAGGCAGATCCCAGGGCCATGGCTGGGCACGAGGCCACCTCCCCAGGAGACACACTCACCCATGGCCTGGTAGGGGTCTAGGCTGTTCTTGTGAAGGCTGGTAGTCCTGTGCACAAAGGAGGCAGGTCTGTGGGAGATGGAAGACAGCAGCAGCCTGTTCCCCAAGGACACAGGTTCCCTCTGATCAGGAGGCTGCCCACTGGAGAGCACTGCCACCCACAGGATCAGCTCAGAGCAGCCCCTCCCGCTCCACGGCCTGTGATCTGAAAGCGAGGGGAAGAGTGGGAAGGCAGGCAGGTGTGGAGTGACTCTGCACCACTGGTGGTCCTGGGGTCACGTCCTGGGTGTGGGCTGTGGCCTTGTCTGGAAGTTTTGTACACCTCTGGGATTCAGAGGTGTAACTCAGGGTGGCTTTGCACATAGTTTTAGTTACCCTTTCTCTCTCCATTCTTTGGGCTACTGAGGCTAAGAATGGCTCTTCACCCACTCCAGTGCTCTCGGTCCACAATTCTTTTGGGAGACTCTCTGGGAACCCTTAGGGGCTCTCGAGAACTATCTACTAGGCCTGGGCTTGCCATCACTGACGGCTAATAAGGCGCCCTGCCCATATATGGGGTCGAGAAATGTGTGTGTTTGAATCTGGAAAGTATGGGTAGAAAGTCTTTCAGCTGGCTTCTTCCCTCTTCTCCCTTGCACTAGCTCTCTACTCCTCCTTCATCCAGCCCCACTGTCACTTTAAGTGCTTTTCTGCTCCCACACTTTGGACCTGACTTTTCCCTCGTCCCCTCTTCTGCAGAATACTCCTGCTGGCCCCCAACAAACCCAACAGAATGTGTATGGTGTAACACAGCTATTTAATAACAGAAATAGAAAAATTTAAAGATACAAAATATACTAGAAAATGGTATCCTTCTGCGTATTTTGTAACCTTGTAATAATAATCAACAGCTCCTTCCGGCTCTCTCTGGGTCACTCCCAATGACCAGGCTCCTTCCCAAGTGCCATTCCTCTGATGTCCTCTCCTTCCTAGAGCCTTGTCCTTCCATCCTTAGTCCAAGGGACAGCTTGGGGGGGGGGCAATCCCTGTCACCCCTATTCCATGAAGTAATCTCTACTCAGGGTGCATGCATGCTGCTCAGGTCCCTGGTGGTAGGTATGTTCCTGTTCTTGTTACTCTGCTTTTTAAAAAAAGCCTCATCTGAGGATACGTTTATTGATTTTAGAGAGAAGAAAAGGTTGGGGGGGTAGAGAGAGAGAGAGAAAAACATCCATTGATTGCCTCCCACATGCACCTACACTGGGGATTGAACCCACAACCTAGGTATGTGCCCTTACTGGGGGTTGAATCCACAACACCCTGGTGCACAAGCTGATGTTCCAACCAACTGAACCGCCTGGGCAGGGCTCATTACCCTGCTTTTATTTGTCCTTCACTTCCTTCGCTTTCTTCCCTTTCTCCAGGCTTTTGTGTTCTCTTTTTCACTTTCCTCCTTAAACCAAGCTTTGGCTCTGACAGCTTCCCCTCCTTTGAACCTCTTATTGCTCCATCTTCCTGGGGAGCCTCTGACTCAACAAGACAGTTACCTACTGGGCTTTGGAATTTTTATTGTCTTTTAAGTAACAGGGACCAGTGGCGATGAGGACCCCAAACATCACGATCAGGGCCTATGTCTTCCTCACGATCGCCCCAGGGAAGGGGTGCTGCAGGCCTCGGCCTGATTCCAAATCCTGAGTGAACTGAAATATCGGGGTTTCACTGCTTCTCTCTCTTTTTTTAAGACTTATTTTTCAATTACAGTTGACCTATGGTATTATATTAGTTTCAGGTGCACAACACAGTGATTACACATTTATATACCTTACAAAGTGAACTCTCAGTAAGTCTAGTGCCCCTCCGACACCATGTACAGTGATTACGGTATTGTTGACTGTATTTCCTGTGCTGCACTCTGCATCCCCTTGACTGTTTTTGTAACTGGCAGTTTGTACTTCTGAATCCCTTTCTCCTTTTTTGCCCATTCCCTCCTCCCCCAACCCCATCTGGCAATCATTAGTTTGTTCTCTGTTTCTTGCTTTCCTTTTCCAGCTCTTTCCACAAGACTGGTTCCTATCTTTCCTGGTAGATCACAGAGCAGGGATTCCTTCTGTTAATTAAACAATTGCCGACTCTTAAGCTTTTTGGGAAAAAAAAATCAGAGTAATGGGATTTTATCTTGATGCTTGACAGGAGGAAGAGAGTCAGTCCCAAAGGTATTCTCCTGGTCTAACAGACAAACAACAACCTCACAAGTATTCATGCTTTCTGGAAGGTAAATGGTTAATTAAAATTTTTTTCTATGAGTAAAAGTTATCAACGACCAACCAGACCGGCAGTCTTGTACGTTTTATAGACGACGTTGTGCCCTGGTCATACAGCAATCATCTCTGCAGTCTGAATGTCTTTAAAAATTCCTTTGTATAAGTTATACTCCAAAGATGATATAAATATAACATGGAACAGAATTATGTATTTCCCCTCCAGTGAGACTGAACATGTTTGATTCACCACTTTATCAGAATCAACTGTGTGAGCAGAATCGTGCCTGATTTTCTGCAGTGCTGTGCTAAGAGGGAGTACGTTCTGTTCTCATCTTGCTCAGATTTATTTTGTTAGCATTTGTGAGGCTGGCTTTTGAAAACCGAGTCCCAGAATTTCATTATATAGGATTTTAAAGGGCAGGTCTGAGAAGCTTAAAATGTACAGAAGAAAAGAGAAAGCTAACAAGTGTATTATGAGACACATTCTGTCTTTCAGCTGCAGTTGGGAGTCAGGTCCCCTCACTCCAGGGCTGTGGCTGGGGAAGGCTCCAGGAGCAGGGGGAGCTGAAAGTTACGGGAAGTACAGTAATTATCAACATGACCTAAAACAAAACCTCTGGATGCCGCGTGTGGTCTGGCACGGGGATGACCGAAATATTGCAGCTAGTTTTTATCCCAATTGAGGCTCGATATTTCTGAGACCAGGAAGACCTCTTACCCACCAACAACCAGACTTGACTTGAAGGAGAAGTTGAAGAGAGTTCTCTGGGGACCATGCCAGCTGCCTGTTTACAGAAAAATTCTCTCTCTCAAAGCCTCTACTTCCATTTATTTATGCTCCTGGCTCTCTGTCTCTGCCCTTCCTTCCCAGGCAGGTGCTCTAGGGAGAAGAGCGATGGCCACGTGGAGGCATGAGGACCCCAGATGAGAGAAAGAAAGACTTTGGTGAAAGTAGTGGAATTCACCTCTGTGGACTCCTCCATAGTTCCTGGTCTGCACTGTTCCACCTTGCCCTGAGTTGGAAATGTGGAGATGTAGCTGGTATCTTGGGTCCTGCCTTCTCAAGGATGTCGGAGCATGTAAGGTGGCTGACTGTGGACTGCTTGGCCCATGGTCCTTAGAAGTCTAGGTTGAGCCACTTCTTGCTAGCTGTGGGAGGAGGCAATGCAACCCCAGAAGAGGAAGCCTTCTATTCATGCCTGCAAGGAAAAAGCCAGGACCTCCTGGGTATAACCCAGGAATGAGAGGGGCTATAGTATGAGCCCACAAGGATCTGTCCTGGAAGGAAGGATGCTGAACCAGTGCTAGATTGTGAGGGTTAGGACCCCCATGTTATGTTCTTTGTTTCTCCGATCACGTTTCACCATAGCTACACCTTCATCGTTCAGCCATCTAACCACCTAGCAGCCCGAGCAATACTGGCGACTTGCATTTATTGCCATCCACCCTGACTCACTCAATACTGATTCACTTTATTGTTGCTGTCATCTCCCTCCAAAAATCTGGTAGGTTTTGTGAGGTCATCAGTGCCTTACCCACTAGGGTATTAATGCCTCCTTTCTTTGTTGCTTTGGTGGACTAACTTCACTTAATCTCCCAGAACACTGTTTAGAATAATCTACTGGGAGAGCGTATGTCTCAGTTTGGTTGGAACAATCCCAGTTTACACTGGTTGTCCTGGTGTAATTATTTATATGCCCCCTTTCCCTTTCAGAGTTATCTTGGTTTGGACAAGCTCTATGGTCATCCCAGAGAATGGTGTTTTGCAGCCTCTTCAATAGGTGACCATGCTGCTGGAGACCTCCCACACCACGAGCTCACTCACTATCACCAATTGTGACCACTACCCCACTCCGAGCCCTGGTTACCTGGAAGGGTGTCCAGCAGCTCTGTGCCCAGTGCTTCGGTCACCATGCTGCCAAGAGCAACACAACAATACTCCCCTCGACTCACCCATAAAACACAGGCTCACCAACATATCTGTTTCTTCCTTCTGCATCAAACCTAGGGCTTCCCACCTTCATCAATACTTAGAAAAATGTTATCTCAATGTGTTTGGGTCTGAAAGGCAGGGGTGGATCGCCTTGTCCTGGAGTTCTGAGGTCTGCCCTCCAGCCATAAGAACTCAGAATGAGAAAGAGGCTGGGGGACATCCCCAAATGAACCCTCCTACCTGTACACTCCCCCCCTCCCACCTCCATGCCGCAGACTGACTGGAAGAGAAGACAGCAGTCCTCAAGGCAGAGAACAAGAAGGACTGTGGAGGAGATTTGCAATGTGCTTGGACTGAGGAAAACAGATGTGGTGGAATAGTATTGTGCCTCATTCTGTCTGTTGGCAGCAGTATCGCTGCCTCCATAAAAAAAAAAATCCAAAAAACAAAAAACTCTGTCTTCAGTGTGAGCTCCATTCCCCCCCTTTACTCTCCCAGGCCTAAGGAGAATTTACCATTCGGACACTGTGGCATGTACACGTACACAGATATTCATTCATTCAACAAATGCCTAGTGTGTGCCAGGTATTCTAGGTATAGAATGTATGGAAATCTTTACATTCCATTTGGGCTTATATTCCAGACACACACACACACACACACACACACACACACACACACACTTCTCATAGAAGAATCTGTTGCTTTCTCCAGTTTGCATGTAGTCATATGGCTCCTCACACATGCAGCAAGTTACAGACCTAAGCAGGTACCTTCTGGATCTTTGTTTTCTCCAGGCTAAGGTTTAGGACAGCACAGTCCCTGGCTATGAGGGGATGGCAGGAGGGTGATGGTCAGGAGAGACACAGTTCCCCAGGTATAGTCTTGGGATGAAGTTGACCCTGTGTGCCATGCATCAACCCCAGCCGCCCCAGAGGATAGTCTCCCATCTGCATCTTAGGAGCAGCAGGCCCCACTGGCTGGGCTTCTCCCCTCCCCAGAGACCACTGACACATTCCCCCTCATCCAGCTCTCAGGGTCACCTGGAACACCTGTGAAGGCAGAGACACACCCACAGGGGTGAACAATGGTACCAACCCAAGACCCATGTGATGGGAACAAGCCAACTAAGGCTCCCATCAGGGCTGGGGATCCACCCATAGTCTCCCCTCAGAGCATCATTCCCTGTTCTCTGACAGTCTGATGGGCAGGATTGTACTCTGTTCCTGAGCTTGCGCTCCAGGACTCTTGGAGAGCACCTGGGCTAGCCCTTTTCTTTCTTGGTAATGTTCTGGAGGAGAGGAAGAGAAAGGCCTTAAAAGAAAACTCCAGGGCAGGCAAGGACAACTGTTCTGATTTGTATGGGACTGAAGGCTTTCGGGGGATGTGAGAAAGTTCTGGGTGAGTTAGAACAGTCGGTCACCCTAAATGGACAACGGTTAAAGTGCTGGGTGGAGTCCTGGTGTGAAAGAGGTCATGGAGCCAGGAGGGTCAAGAGACAGTGACCATACCTACAGCTGGTGTCTGGAGCAGCCCAGGGCCTGGATGTGGTCCCTGCTTTCAGGAATCTAACACTTTGGATATGAGGGCCTGGTCCCATCCAGGGGGCGTAGCTACAATGAGTGTTAGGGTCAGGGGAGAAGGCCTCCAGGGACTTGGGCCTGGAGAAGGAGCCTGCTGGTTTGTGTGTAGCTGATCACAGCAGGCCCATGAGGGGCTGGGCTGGGGAGTGGTGCCCAGGCCTGGCTTTCAGGAGCACTCCTCCTGCCCTGGGGCCTCCTCCCCAGCCGGCAGGAAGACAGACGTGGTCATTGCTTTGCAGTTTGTAGCCTGGGGCAGGAGCAGAGGTAGCTGCCCAAGTAATTATGGCAGAGATGCAGGGCCCAGAACTCTTAGGGCTGGTCCTGCTTGGGATGGCACACTGTCCACACCTGGGAGTGGGGAGAAGGGAGAATGAGGGCTTGGTGATTAGGCTCTGGAGCCTTGGGGAAGGGAGCAGGTCTGGGTGAGAGCTAGCACTCTTTTCTTAATTTTATCATCATGAAAGGCATTTGCTCATCTTGATCTGTCTGGTGGCACAGGTTGGTGCTGGGAAAGGTTGTGGGGGCCAATACCCTGAGCCTGCACCACCTTCCTGAGCTCTAAGCTCTGCACATGGCTGTTCTCTGGTTGAGTGATCCCTGGATCATAATCAGGTTGTTAGCTGCTTGAGTGTCTCAGATATTTCTACCCTGTTCCCCTGAACAATGAGTACATGGGGCAGACTCCAGGCAGCCTAGCTGAGACTAAAAGAATGCAACTTCAGTTTGAGCTATTGCTCTTCTCAAGACAGTTTGCAGTTTGAGATAAGCCAAGTTAACTGCTAACTGAACAAAAAGGCAGTATACTCTTTGGAGGAACATTACAGAATCCATAGTCTTTTTTTTTTTTAAATCCTCACCTGAGGGTTTGTTTATTGACTTTTAAGGAGGGAGGGAGGGAAGGGGGAAGAGAGAGAGAGAGAGAGAGAGAGAGGGAGAGAGAATACACCCTAAATGGGGATAGAACCCATAATCCAGGCATGTGCCCTGACTGGGGATCGAAATTGCAACCTTTTTTGGTATATGGGACGATGTTCCAACCAACTGAGCCACATGGCCAGGGCCAGAATCCATGATATTTATAACATATCAATCATCATATAGGATACAATTCAAGATTATTCCAAAAATGAGGAAACAAAAACACAAACCATGTTGAAGAGAAAAGACAACAGTACCCATCCCCCAAGATGACCCAGATGTTGGATTCAGTACCCAAGAATTTTAGCACCCAAAGATGCAAAGAAAAATATGCTCGTATTAAAGAAAAACAAACAGGAACATAAGCAGAGAAATAAGAACTTTAAAAAAGAACCACATCTGAACTCTGGAACTAAAGGATGCAATATATGGAATTAAAAAACAAAAACTGGAGGGACTTAGTAGAAGAATGGAGATAGCAGAAGAAAGAGTCAGTGACCTTGAAGATAAATAAGCAGAAATTACTCAATCTGAGAAAGAGAGGAAGAAATTTTTTTTAATGAGCAGAAACTCAGGGACTTGTGGATATATATATATATATATATATATATATATTCATTCTAATAGGGGTCTTCTTAGAGTCCCAGAAGGAGAGAAGAGAATGAGGCAGAAAAAATATTCAAAGAAATAATGATGGAAAGTTACCCAAGTTTTGGAGAAGGCAGGTATGTTTGGGTTCAAGAAGCTCAGCAACTCAAAGCAGAAAGGGAAATAAACAAAAAAGCACATGTAGGCCTATCAGAGTCACACTCCTGAAAACCTGAGATAAAAGGGAAATCTCAAAGGCACCCAGAGAAGAAGAGCACACCGCAAACACAGAACAACGTTTTCAGTGTCACTGCTTTCTCATCAAAAACAACACAGACCAGAAAGAAGGCAGTAGAACAACATCTTTAAAATGCTGGGGGAAAAAATCAACTCAGAGTTGTTTTTCTGGTGAAAATATTCTTCAGGAATGAAGATGAAATAAAATCACCTTCGGAAAAAAGAAAACTTAGAGAATTTTTTATCAGTAGACCTGCATTATGAGAGACGCTCAAGTTTCGTGGGCCAGAGGCAAAGGAATCCAGATGGAGGAACAGAGTGGTTGGACAGATGAAGGGAAATGGTAAACCTGTAGGTAAATGTAAAATATATATTTTCTTAATGTTTTAAAAATACATATGCCTATTTAAAGAAAAATATAGTATTGTGCGGTTTATAACACGTGCAGATGTAATATACATGGCAATCGTAGCATAAAAGATGAGGGTACTCACATGGTTACCAAGTTTCCTCACCCAATATTAAGTCTAAAAAGATTCAGAAATCAAGGACGCAGTTTTCTGCAGAGCAGTGGTTTTCTACCTGTGGTCTGGGGAGCTCTGGGGGTCCTTGAGATCTTTCCAGGGGGTTTATGATATCAAAATTATTTTCATAACAATTGTCAGATATTGTTTGCTGTTTTTTTCTCTCTGTGTCTCATGAACATACCGGGAGTGGACAGAGGCTACGTGGGGTGTGACGACATCATCCCCTCACAGCTAATGGAATGTGTGCTTATGTTTATATCCTTGTGTTTTAAAGTTTTCTGAGCTTTACTTTTTTATACAGTGAATATGAATAGATACAACCTACTCAGACAAAAGCTCTTTGGGGTTCTCAAAGATTTTTTAAGGGTGCAAAGTTTAAGAACAACTGCCCTAGAGTGACCACTAAAAATGAAAAATTTTCAAAACGAAAGGCAAAGAGGTGTAGCTAAAAGGAACAGATAAATTAAAATGGAATTCTGAACTCTAAACTGGTTTAATTTGGGGAACTTGTTTCTAAAAGGGTGACCTTTTAGGAATCATCCTGGTTTTTCTGAAACTGAGGGGTTTCCCGGGACAGGGGGCATCCAGTCCTAAAACGGCGGAGTCCCAGGCAAACCTGGCGAGCTGGTTTTTCCTAGTCCTTCAGCCATCTGTTTTGTTCCCCTTTCCCTTACTAATGGGAGCCAGTAAAGAGCCAAGTCCACACCTGCTCTGTGTGTGGGTCCCCAGATACAGGTTGAGAGGACTGAACAAAGGAAATAAAGGAAACAAGCTACAAGATTGTAAGTACACTGTGTTCACAAAAATAGAAAACACGAGAGAACAATCTAAAACAACTGACTCATTAGAGGGCTGTGGGTGATTTGAAAAATGTTTCCCTGTTGAGTGAAATTTCTGTAATGTGATCAAATCACTTTGATACTTAGAAAAATATGTATTTGGAATTATAATGGTGACCAGATGGCTCCTTCTGAGACAGGCTAGATTGAAAGGATGAGGTCACGGATCCTGAGGATGCTGCTTGGACTTGGCTTTAGTGGCATCTGTAACTCATGCAGTTAAAGAAGAACTTTTTGCCCTTGGATACAAGCTTAGGCCAGACAGGGCCCTGTCAACCCTGGGGAGCTTATGTCTGGAGACACCTGATGTCCCGCTGTCTCAGCTCACCCCCTCCACTGAATTTTGTTTCTCATTAACTGAGAAGGGGCAAAGAGCAGAAGCAGGGAGAGAGGAAAGTCTTCAAAGTTTTGATGTGGGGGTGGGAAGGATGGAGAGAAAGCAGAGGAAGTAGGTAGGCTTGAGTGTAGGAAGTACATAAACGTATTTCAGAATTTGGATTTTTATTTTTGAAATTTCTGCGGGTGCTGCCACTGGCTGTCCTGCATGGAGAAGGACCCAGTGGGGGTGGGGGTTGCAGACCAGGGAGGTTTTGCCACAGCCTTTATTTTGGCCTTAAACAGGAAAGAAAGGGGACACCTGCCTACCTTTAAACATCCTTTTTTAGACTTCTGGAAGGGCCACGCTGAGGTGTGGGCTCCTCGTACCGGGTGCTCAGAGGGTGTCTGGGCTCAGGGCTCGCGT